GGAAAATTGGACTTCAAAATTATTTCTGTGTAGCGCAGTTTGAAACAGCCTGTAATCGCCATCCCTCCAGAAACAGTCGTTTCTTGAAATTGCTCCTACGTTGAAACACCTTTTCACTTGAAATCTGGCCTCATTCATTAATCTTTTGAAGGTATATGGGTGAATATTTTTATACTCTTTTTTTTTTTTTCAGTTGTAAGACATTGTGAAATTCAAAGTATTGCAGTATCTAAAACTCATTGTTAGATTGAAGCAAAAAAATCCCCACAAAAAACAACGAAAGCTGTCTTACAAAATATTGTATACTTTGTTATACCCATGGGTATTTATGTGTGATTATAGTAATTTTTTAAATATTAGGTGGAGGTGGGGGAGAGGTGGAGGGGGAGTGTATGTGACTAAAGATAGATCATGCATAGCTAATTGTTGAAAATGAGTGATGGGTATATAGCAGCGATTTTCAACCTTTTTCATGTGGCACACATAAACATCTGAAATTCTGTGGTACACCAAAAAATACAATTTTTTTTTTTACAATCTGACAAAAAATAGGTATAGTTTTGATTCGTTCACACCTTTGGCTGTTGTTGTGTTGGCTGTTGTCATTTTATAATTTGACAATGTAAGGGAAAAGAGGTCAGTGGCCCTGACTAGTCGGGTATTGCAGGTTTTAAAAACACCAATCGCTGCCTTCTAAGGTTTCCAGAAAAGTTGAAACATCACTGGGAAAAATGTTCTTTTCCTCTCTGTAAAAAATCAATAAAATATATTTTTTTTTAAAAAAAGTGCACTTAACAGATGGATATGGACAGATATCGAATAATCCCCAGCATAAGTTAAAAAGATTATACATGGTAGAATACTACATAGAGTAGGATCACATATGTGTAGATAGATAGCAAAATCATATGCACATGAACTTATATTTAGGTACTTAGAAAAAAGACTGGAAGGATGCCTACTTGTTAATATTGCTTACCTGTTGAAGGGAGAGAATTGCTAAGGAGAGACTAACTGTTTCTCCTATCTTCTTACGCATTGCTTAAATCTTAATGCAGTGTATGTTTTAAAACCCTAAACAATATTTTAGAAACCACAGAAACATACTTTGTATATTACAGGCAGTGTACTTACACATACCAAATATTTATGTTTTATTTTCTTAACAGGCTGGTCGTCTGATGATAAGGAAATTAATTACAGAGAAATTGAATATCCCTTGGAATAATATTCGTTTGCAAAGAACTGCAAAAGGAAAACCAGTTCTTGCAAAAGACTCATTGAATCCTTACCCCAATTTCAACTTTAACATCTCTCATCAAGGGGACTATGCTGTACTTGCTGCTGAGCCTGAGCTACAGGTTGGAATTGATATAATGAAAACTAGTTTTCCAGGTAATGTTGCATTTTTGTACTGCAAGAGTTTGTATCTCCTTGTCTCCACTCATACATATTGAGTAATGAGGCCAGGAGATGTAATTTACATACTTAAATTTAGGAAAAATATGCTCAATACTCAAAGGTAGTATATCTGAGAGAGCATATATATAAAAAGGGTATATTACTTAGAACATTAATGAACTTCTACATAAAGAATAGATTCTCTCCAGGCCTGCGTGGCTCCGTGGTTGGGCATCGACCTTTGAACCAGGAGGTAGGTTATGGTTCCATTCCCAGTCAGGGCTTATGCAGGGGTTGCAGGAGGCAGCCGATGGATGATTCTCTCTCATCATTGATGTTTCTTATCTCTCTCCCTTCCTCTCTGAAATCAATAAAAATATATTTTTAAAAAAGAATATAGTCTCCATATAATGTTCTGCCAGAGGCAAAGTGAAATGTAAAGATTTTTGAACTATGCCTCAGCTTAAGAAAGACTAAATTTGAAACTATTTTAGAAGTCTTAAATGTGTAAAGTTTTTCAATAGCTCTTATCTTATTTAAATGATGTTAACTCGAACTGGGCTTGAGTTAATTTTTAGTGGCGTTCTATTAAAAACAATAATTATAAGAACTTTGTTTCACTTAAACATATCTCAAAATTAATCAGTAAATTGTTTGGTTTGTTTAAAAGGTAATCTCAATGATAAAGTATATTGTAATTCTTAGAAAAGTTAACATGTGTTTATGCTATATCTACAACTCTTTGTTTTGTAGCACATTTATATAAGTAAAAAAAATGAAGAGCGAGCAATTATTAAAATACTTAACTTGCTTATATTTTGCCTTAAAAATTTATAATTGGTGGATGTAGGAACTGCTAACATTTGTTGTGGGTTGAATATGCCCAGGGAATTTCATAGAACACAGGTTCTCTTAGCTATAATTTTTATCATTATTAACATTTAGTGAGCACTTATTGTGTGCCAAGGCATTTTACTAAGTGCTTTGCATATATTCTCCGATTTAATTGTCCCAACCACCCTCAAATGGATGTACTGTTATTTTTATCAAAAGATAAGTAGCAAAAGGAAAGCTATTAATAGGAACATCTTTCTTATTTCATAGTGCAGTTTCTTCGCCTCCACACTGCCTCAGGATCTTTGCTTATGTTTTCCTCCGTCTGGAACATTCGTATTAACTTTATCCCGCACCTCAACTTCTGTGTAGATAATTTATTGACTGGCTACCTTTCACCTCAATCTTTAGGAAAGCCGTTGTGAACTTTTCATCTAAGCTAGGTTTTTTCGTTGTAGGCTCTCTTATAAAATGTATTTCCTGCATCCTGGTATTATATCTGTTCATAATTATTTATCGGGATGATTGATTGCCATTCCCCCAGTTCTTATAAGCCACATGAGAGCAGTAACTATGTTAGCTACCTCTGAGTTTGTTCACTATCACATCTCTTAGCACCCTACCTAGGTTATAATAATGCCCAATAGATATTTGTCAAATGTGCTACTATAGTAAGGTTTCATTCAGAGTATGGCTGTGAATCTCACCTCACTTTTGCTGTAATTGTCTTTACCTTGAATTTTCCCACCAGCTACTTGTTCTCTGACTTGCTCATAAAACCTTTCTATTACAACTCTATTGTTAACTTTGCTCAGCAAGAGGCTCTGCTAGCAATGACAGGGATTCTTGACCTGAGACCCAGGATAAGCATCAAGTCATTTTATTTTAACCTACCGAAATTATTTGCTACATTTTGTGTGAATTTTTCTCAGGAGAGGTTCTGTTTTTCAGCAGTGTCATAAAAGGCTTATTCTGAAAGAACCACTGCTGTAGAGGAAATTACCAGAGAGGCCATTGCTCCTCAGAATGCAGTCAGCTTAATTACATAGAAAGGTTGGCTCATCAGGTTGATATCTGCCTGGAAATTATGCTTTATTGTAAGACACAGATTTTATTACCAATTACCTTGATGGATAATGTTGGCTTTGATCAACACTAAATAAACAGATAATTACTCATTGAAACTTTTAGTAAATGATAGGATGATAACTGAGCGTTAATTGAAGGTCTAGTTTCCTGATGATTATATTAAGACTTTTTTTTACCCCCAACTTTTATTATCTTATTTGACTAAGCATAGTATCCATGCCTTTTCCTATTCTTTGTCTGGTTCATTACCAAAAAGCTATGATATATCCAATAAATCATAAGACAAGCGATACTTTCCAGTGTCACTCGTACTGTTATCATGTCAGTAATTTCCACTAGTGATAACAATGATGGACATTATTTCTCAGTGAGGGTGGGTAGCAGACAGTGGTTTATTTCACTGGAGAATCATTTGAATCCCACTGCTTATCAGAATAAGTAATGAAATTGAGCTAAGGGACATTCCCAAAAGTTACTAAATGATGGAGGGTAACATTTAGGACAGCCTCAAGTGCATTGTAGTTTGTACTGGACATGTTATTAAATTGTCACCTCTGGAGATAGAGTCAATCTTTGTGGGCATCATTTGTATTTGAAAGACTCGTTTTCATGACTCTTAT